TCCAAGCGTGACAAAATCCAGATGATCTTTTTGTTACCATATACTAGAATGAATGCAGTACTGCACAAAGTCACTATGGATTTGAATAAAATAAAATCTTGAAAGGTGAATTAAAACATGACCAATATTTTCTTAAAGGTTTCTTCCTTTCTTCCTCTTTATTTCATGAAAAAGTCTGATTATTGAAGTGTGACCTTAGCGTGTAGTCTCCTGAACCAAACAATGCTATGACATGCAAAAGCATTTCACTGTGTGACAAAGTAGCACGCTGCACACTTCACACTATAGCACAGGTATACCCAGCCATATGGGACATAGCCAAACTTTGCTGAAGTATCTCCAGGAACATAAAATTACTTGCAGGAGAGAAAGGGTATTACTTCCTTCAAGTCCCACATTGTACAGGTGCTGGTACTCAGCAAACCAGGCAGAGGGAGACACGTGCTTTGCTGCTACACCCACCTCAGCACCAGCTTTGCTATATTAGGCATGTAAGTAGGGCACAGATCTTGCTTGTTTGGGTGGTGGATGACATACTCTTAGGATAGTCTTTTATCTAAAAAAATTATGAACACAAGCCTGTTTATCCATGCAGTGTCTGCTGCAGCCTGTGCCAAATGGAGCTCCAGGCAGGGGCTGTGGTGCCTCTGCACCAACACTTCAGGCAGGGTTGGTGGCTGCTTCACACCCAGCAGCACATTCCCATAATCAGCTGCTGCTCCTACCTGGCTTCTTGGTGACTGGTACAGAGCAGCTTGTGAGGTACTGCTCGCAGGGGCCTGTCGATGTCTATTCTTGGGGCTAAAACACCTCTTTTTGCATGAGGTCTCCATATAGGAAAGGCTTGGGAGTCCTCATGTGGAACAGCTATTCAGAAGCGGAGACTGAAGCATGGTTGAAAGATCAGGAGCTCTAGGTACAATAATCAATTACTGAAGAGCTTTAAATGTGGAAGCTGGAGCATGGATGTGGGTTTTGTGGACCGAGGAGGAGCATAGGAAGTCACTAGCATTTTCCGTTCACTTGCATCTTCCAAAGCTCTTTGGTTGCTCACAATCTGGACAGGCCCTAATTTCAAAATAGCTGCAGGGTCTCAGCACCTTCTGCAGGATACAGCAATGCTGTTCTGCTGAGCAATAATGCCCAGTGAGTTTTCTAGGAGCAAATTCAGTGTCAGGAAACACAACCAGTGGTCCACAGTGTACAGGCAGAGGTGACTGCTGCCCTCCAAACCAGCAACCTCTGCCTGGGGAAATAAATGACCGTATGGCTAACCACTGCCAAATGATGTTTCTTTAGAAGAGCCGATTTATTTACTTTTTCTATTTGGATATTCAAGATACTGTATCATTTATCTTAGTTCACGAGGGCGTAGCGTCCTCCATACTTTTGTCTGTTTTGAAGCCAAGGATAACAGCAATAATGTAAGAGCTAAACTCCACTGCTTGAAGTGCAGAAAAAGGATTTTACTCTTTTTTCAATTAAAATAAAGCTGCAAGTTTTAATAATGAGAGTAATTAATCACAGAAATAACATACCAAGGGAGGTAGAAAATTATCCACAGTTCCCCCTTTTTTTAGTCAAGGTTGATGACTATCCAACAGTTATGCTCCCAGCACACCAAGTTACCGCGCTTCACACACAAATCCATGAGCTGCACTTGCTGTGCAGGCCAGGGGAGGGTAAGGCCTTTTCTGCTTTTAAGTGAGGAGCAGCACCCAGCAGCTCAGGCCATAACCCCAGGGAACACATTTCTTTCCCCCAGCACTAAGCTCAGATTCCATGTGATTAAAATACAGGATTTTAAATCCTGAATATGTGCCACTGCTCTTCTAAATGCAGGCATGCACAGAGCCAGTGTGGGAAGCCGATTTTGTTGGGAGTTTTTTAGTACTCCGCTGTAGTGAAATGAAAGCTCTGCTCGTTTCTCGTTGCCGCTGGGCGAGCGTGAAGCCAGGCTGCTTTCCCTGGAAGAAATTTAAATTTGAGAAGAAACTTCTTCTCAGTGACGGTGACAGAGCACTGGAGCAGCCTTGCCCAGAGAGGTTGTGGAGTCTCCTTCTCTGGAGACATTCAAAACCCGCCTGGACACCTTCCTGTGCAACCTCATCTGGGTGTTCCTGCTCCGGCAGGGGGATTGGACTGGATGAGCTTTTGAGGTCCCTTCCAATCCCTAACGTTCTGTGATTCTGTGATTCTGTGAAGGCTGTCGTTCTGTAACAACTCCCTGCTGCCACAGATGCTTGGGTAGGCAGAGGTCTAAACTAGTTAATTTGAGAACTTCTCATCGAAAAATTACAGAGCCTCAGATTCACCTCCTAAGGAAGCTAAATTCATCTCTGGGGAGGTGGAGAGCTACCTTGTACGCTACATCAGTGGCCCTGCTCCCAGTTCTCAAGCCCGCTGAAGACAGCCCCGCTGCATCTTCAGGATTTGCAGTAATTCCAGCGCAGCGTACGGCCACGCTGCACTGCGCAGTTCTCTTCTGGCTGTACGGTGTTTCCTCAAGCCCCAGATGTCAAGCCATAGTAAAACCTACCTGAAAATTTGTGTCGCTCCAGATCTGGAGTCCGTGGTCCCCCGGTCAGCTGGCACAGACAGGAAAAACAGAGCTCTCGCTGTCCCTGCTGCAGCACAGGCTGTGATGTCCTGAACTTCATCACAGCAGGGAGGCTGTTAATTGGTGTGCCAGTAACTGCTGCTCTTACCAGGCAGATGGGGTATGAATACTAAAATCTGGCCAAAGCATGACTATTGGAAACTTCAGGAGTAGCCATACGCAGGAGATTTGTATCCTCAACAACCAGTGTAAGATGACCTCTTCATTTTTTTTTCTTCCACATCATCTGTTTGGATTTTAAGGTTTTTAGAGCATCTTAGATGAAAAATTCAATTCACTTGAAAAATTCATCAATGGTTCTGAATAAGGCCTGCAGGTTTTAGTGTTAGACTGTTGCATATGTGTCTTCCTTCCAGTTTAAGCCTCCAAACATTAGTTTGAACTGTAGCTGTTCCGTATGCAGGCAAATTGAGAATCACAAGGGAAAGTTATTTCAGTTGGCATTTAAAAGTCTGAGCCACTATCTAACAACTTTCTGAAATTTGACGTTATTAAAATTTCTTAATTCCCATTGAAATGGAGAGGAGAAGCATCCCCTACCAGATATATGTGAGATACACAGGTGGCTGGCTGCAGGTCCCACTGGAAGGTCAGTGCTGCAGGGTGTGATGCACAGCAGCGCCTGATCTCACTGCACACTGATGGAGACCACCAGGACAGCAAGATTTCGGTAGGAGCCACGCGGTCAGCACTCGCGTCGATGCGGTGCCCGTTAGCTTGGTAATTGTCAGAGAAGAGGCTGAGTGCCATGCACTGCAGTGAGCTCATGATGCCCGTGGTGCATATTGCTGGAGCTGAAATTCAGGACTTTTAGTCATTCTGTGCAGTTTTGTGGTGGTTGCCTGAGGGTGCGCTTTGAATCAAAGGGTTTGCTTAAGCAGCAGCAAACACAAAACTGGCAGAGAAAGGCAGCGTAAAAGGTTAAACCTCAGCTCTACAAGGAGTTGTGATGTTGCCCAGCCCCATCAGGGCTATGATACTTTGCCCTCACAGTACCTAGAGCAACTTCAGGAGATGGGAGAGGGTGCTGTGCCAGTAAAAAGCTGCTGCACTAGAAATACTGAGAGATACCATCAGCATCCCCCCTCAGGCAATGGAGGAAACTGAACCCACTAGAGGAACAAATACAGAGACAAAGTCTGGGCAGTATGCATGGAAATACTTATCTTTTAATTTATTTATGTATATATTGTTGGGACAAAGGTGTTAGATCTTGGATAAACAATTTAAGGCTTCGGTTTGAGTCACTCTGGAGTTTTCGGAGTCACTTAGACTTGATGGGATCAATACCTTTCTTACAGTAGCAGAAAGTTGATGCAAGCTGACAAATTGTGGACTTCACTCAGGTCGAGTGATGAGCACAACATTTGCAATGCAAGGAGCCCAAACGGCGCAGTGCAGTTACACATCACAAGCTGCCAGCAACCCTGGTGATTGAATACAGCATGTTTGGTGTTCGTAACACAAATGCACGCTTAGTTTTAGGGTAGCATGAAGTAATACTGCATACAGTCCCCCTGCACTTGGAGGTACCAGGTGTCTGTCTTGAGCTCACCTGGGTTTCAGAAAACAGGGAGATCCTGAGCCCTGCAGAATGAGAGAGTACAACACAGGTGAAAACTCCACGCTCGATTCTCCTCCTGTGCAAGCGTGGTGAGCTTACTACACTTACTACATTCTCTGTAGCTCTGAATAATTTTACACTTGGCTCTAAAATCTCACTGAAAATGAAAGTGGGGACATGGGAACACAACTGACCTGTATTTCACCAAGACTTCCCATCAAAGACTGCTGCTTGCTAGAGAACACACAGCCCTTCAGTCATACTAGGACATGGTTTTGAGCTGCTTGGTCGTCCATTTTAATTTCACATCAATTCAACAACTGATTGAATGCAGCGTGTTTATTTCCTTTCAAATAAATCCTGAACATGAAGCCAGCAGCCTGCCCATATCACAAACATTTCAGTACTGCTCAGTTAGCAGTTCCCACTGGTGTCTTTGCTCATGATGAGAGCTACAGAACGGCACCTGTAGCTGGGTAGATGAGATCAGCCCAGCCAGCTTTGACAGTCACGGTATCAGACACATGCAGTGTCGCCTGCAGACCTCGACATGTGCTGGACCAAAGAGCAGACGGGAGGTATTCACCCCTTCCATCTTCTGTGCCAGACCCTGCAGCAGCACAGACGTATTTCCAAGGGGGAGCTGTAAACTTTCAGCAGGTTTATATCCAAACATCTTCCATTTTCTTTTTCCTTGTCCCTAAATCCCCTCAAGTAGCTCTTGTGCGTGAAAACTGTACATATCACAGGCATGTTTCTCTCAAGAAATCTCAGTATTATGCAATAAAGGGATCATTTTCTCCTCTGTGTCCCCTTTTATCTCTGCTTTACAAAAAGGTTCCTGAAGGCATTGTTGTAATTTTTGTTAAATGCTGTATAAATGAGAGGATTAAAAAAAGAATTGGAGTAGCCAAGCCAAAGAAAGATGCTTTTCCAGACGGGTGGGATGTTGCAGGAACAGAGGGGACTTATTAATTCTGTGATGAAGAAAGGGATCCAGCACAGTACAAAAACACCAATTAAGATGCCAACCATCAGAGCTGCCTTTTTCTCTTTCTGTTCTCGCCATGTTTCTCCATCTGTCTGGAAAGTGATAGCTGCATGACGAGCTGTAAACACCATCTGTGGTTCACGCGAAGCTTCCTTCACCTCAAAACAAAAGCAAACATGGATTCTTACCAAGACATTTTGTTTGAGTGAAGTATTACTTTTAAATGACAGCACGACATCTGTGCACCTACCACAAAAGGCCCCAACTCCGTTCCTTCCACGCTAAAAGAAAGAAAATGCCCCAGAGTGCCAAAATTACCAGACTTCTCATTATGTTGGAAAAGCTACTGAGTGTGACTGACAAACAGAGCTAAATAAAGAGTAACTGATGCCATGTGTGCTGTGGGCATTCTTTTTCAGTGTATTTTTTGACTACCTTGATACCCAGTGGGAAATCAGACTGTTAGGGAAGGCTGACAAAGGCACGTGCCTCCTGCTTGTCCCTAAACCAGACTCTCCTACGCTGCTATGTGACCCTCAGGCTTTCTCAGCCCTGAATTGTCAATGGATTTCATTCCATTGCAGGCCCTTTGGGTCATTTCCCTAAGGTATTAAGGAGGGACCCGTAACAAATGCAAAAATAAAATGGAATACTTCGGAAATACTTCAGTAGAAAGTAAACCCATCAAGAGTCCCCTACGAAAGGCAGAACTCAGGTGCCTTCTGCTCTTCCCCAGTCTCACCACAGGCACTTCTCCCTCCCGGAGAGGGACAGAGCAGCTCATCGCAGCAGCTGCAGCCTGGCCACAGTGCCAACACGGGCTGTAACAACAGGAGCATAAGGATGCACCTGAAATGACGTGCACTGAGGCACCTGTGCCACCGTTTTGAATTAGCTTGTAAAATACTCTGGTAGTAATCACAGAAAAGCTTTGCAGCAGAAGCAGCATTTTCTGGTCCTCATCTTCTCTCTTCCGTCACCTCTCCTTTATTTCACTCAGATCCACTTGGTATGCTCACAGAAAGCGCTTCACTGCCAGAAAACCAGCCTTTAGTTCAAACTCTGGCTTCAACAGAAGTTACACAGGAGAGGGGAAAATGTCAGTGGGTGACAAAGCTTCTTGTCCCCTCGCGTCCCAAGGGCACAACGTTCATCTGCGCAGTGAGGACAGCACAGAGCTCCGGCCAGCAGCCAGACTGTGCCAAACAGGTTCTAGGCAAGAGTTATTGGTATGCTTAGAGTCTATCCAGAAAAAGATACTCCCTTGTGATTTTTAATCTGAAGATTAAAGTATCTGTGAGTTTAAAGTTCTTCTAGGCACTACAGTTATGAAGGCAGTACAATAAAATAAACAATTTAAGGATGCGACCTGAGGCTCTACAATGTGCCTAAGTGCTGACTCGCAGGCGCTACAAGACTCTGACTCCTGTCCAGAGATGGTTTGTTGTTAAATCAGCTACATATTCCACATGCACATGCAACCTTTGTGCAAGCTTTATAAATGGGGGCCTCTATTTAATATGGACACAGCAACTTGGAGAGGGAAGCACTGGCAACGGCCGGACCATCACTCTTCAAGATGGATATCCCTGTCTTCACCCTCAGACGGGAGACGCGGCCGCAGAATGCAGGAGCAGCAGATTATGGGCGCAGGCAAATAACGGAGGAAAATGAAAATCACATCTGTCCTGACAAAATGGGACACCCCTCATGTAGCAGGGATCACACCATTTGTCTGTAGGACCTGCTCTGCACACCCTTAATCGCATTCTGCTAAAAGGGGTGAATGTACGACACGAGGACAAATTTGTGACAAGCAACCCTGAAAGATTACGTCTTATCCCTGAGGAACAGCTACGTAAGCGTGTCTCTTGGGAAAAGCCAGACAAAGGGCTTTGTCACTAGCATCGGGCATAGGTCGGCATTATATTTAACCTTCTGTTCTTACTCAAAAGATAGAACTTGCAGAGTGCCATCAGCAAATCAGAGCCTGTTCAGTACTTCAGGTTTTAGATGGCTTGTAACTGAACTGCAGAATGAGTAGCGACTCTTACCACTTAATTTCATATTGTGAGAAAAAGTTATTTGATAGAAGATACCTCAGTCCTCAAGTGTTTTCCCTAATGATAGATGCCTTTACAGCCTCGTCAAGCTCCTACTGAAAGCAGAGGAGTTTCCACAAACTCTACTGGTTGTTAGATCAGGCCCCTGAATGCTAAACAGCAAGTGAAAATAGATCACGGTTTTCTTCGTAAATGACAGGACAGCAGTTGTCTTCCTATCTACGTAATTTCTACTTTATATTTTGCCATAGATGTTTTTTCCAATTATTTTTGGGCTAGTTCTGCCTGGGACTTCTGAAAAATATTGTAATAACAATAATAATTTTAAAAGTGCAAATAGCAGCCCAGTGCTTCAGGAAAAATAATGGGATCTCTCATGGAACCTTCCATTAAGTAAAATCTGTAAATATCTCGGGCAGACTGGAAATATTTCGCTTCAGTTTTCAGTAAGAAACTCTTTGAAAAGGATAAACAAAATATTCTTGCGAAAGTAACTAGCGCCCCTGCTCAGCAAGGTCCTTC